TAGAGTTTTTGGTAAAGGTCGCTTACGCCCCACGTAAAACATGGTACGCCCAACGTACTGAGTCAACCACCTCGATGATGGTCAACACAAGGCAAAGTACGCCCATCGTACACCCTCTGATGGGCTTTTACGATTTGGGTTTCAGATTGGGCCACTTTTGGGTCATTATGGTTTGGGCCTTTGCTAGGCTTTCTGAATAAAAGTATTTTGGGCCAAATATGGAAATGGGCCTTAGGGTGAGGCCCAATTAAAGAGTTGGGCCTAATTTGGAAAATTGGGCCAATAATGGGCCTTGTGTATTTGGACCTTTTGGATCATGGATTTGGAATTGAGCCTTGGCCCAAATTAGAGAAAAGGCAAAATGGATTATTGCCCTAGGTTGGACCCTTGGTCAAGATTGATATTCCAACAGTTGACTTAGTATTCGTTATTTTGTATAGTTTGGGATTTTATGTGAGACAGCGATCGAAGACTTTCAGTCCACTTCAGCACTACTTGTGAGGTGAGTTTTCCTCACTATACTAACAGGGTCAAAGGCACCAATACCGACCCTTTTGGATGGTATCCTGATATCTAGGATGATGTTACATTCCATGATTTGTTATATCGGTATCCTAGTGTATAGGATGATGTTATGATTAGTGATATGTAGATTTGTATGACTGTCTGTACATGCTAGCTAGCATATGATATTTATGTGTTAATTATGTGATGGCGGGTGGGTTGAGGCGGTCCTGCTTTGTGCTCTAGGCTAACAAACCCAGGGCGGTTCGGATAGACTGAAGGCCCATCGGGGTGTACCAGTCAGGCTGAAGGCCCTGAGAACGGTCCAGACAGGCTGAAGGCCCGGGAGGACAGACCAAACATGTTGAAGGTTCTGAGAGTAGGCCTGATAGACTGAAGGACTGACAAGGGTGGTCCAGTCATATTGAAGACTATATATGCATGTTGTTTGTTATGATATTGTTTTCGTTTGTATGACGTTGGTATTTTTGGGGAACTTATTAAGCTTCAGGCTTATAGTTTTGGATTTTGTTTTAGGTACTTCGGATGATCGTAGGAAGACGAAGGTTTGATCGTGCACCTCCTCACATTTTATGATTTTGATTTATGGGATTCTCTGATATGAAACTATTTTGAAAGCATTTTGTAATAAGTAATAGTTTTTGAATGCTTGAAAAAGTTTTAAATTTTTACGAATTTTATGGTTGTTACAGACCTCCTTTCAACGATTAGGATTTTCAGCCTCCACCACTACCTACATCTGAACTCCGATAATCTCCAATATGGAGAAGGGTACACCCTACATCTGGATTCTGAAAAGAATATATCTCCATCGAAGAAGGGAAATCCTAAGGTTTTTTTTGCCTCTTTGTCTCATTCTTTTTCTGGTACAACTGTTGGAGAAAGCGAAGGGAGCAATGGTGGTCTAACAATGACGGTGGCGAGTGTCCGAAAAGTGGGTCTGATGGTGGTGGATCTTGAAGGGGACGGTTTGTGGTTATCAGACGATTGTTGGCTCTTGGAATGCACAATGGTTTTTTTTTCAAGAGATAAAGGTATAAGGGAAGACGGGATGGGTGGGTAGGATTTTTTTTTTATTTTTTTATTTTTAATTAGAATAATAATAAATAGTTAAAAGAAATTAAAAATAATAATTTAAACGCATATTCATCATTTCGGGTAGGGTATGGACCAAAACGACAATAAATTTAAATCATATGGACCAAAATCACACAAGGTATTCAAAATTGGACTACTGATGCACCATCAAACTTTATTGGACTAAAGTTGCAGAATTTTGACAACCACATGAACAATTTTTGCAATTTTGTCAAGATAAGAATTTTAAAGTAAAACGTAAACTCGACCAAAATTTTGAGACTTTCTAAAAAAAATATCAAAAAATATCAAGTACATTCTGTTAATGTCACCGTTGAAAAAGAGTTCGCAATACATTAAAAAGTAGGGGAAAACTGCAAACTCTTCTTTTTCAACGAAAACATCAATAGAGGCAACATATGCATTATGGCTTTTAGAAACAATATATAGGTTGACACCAATATAGACGACATGCATGACACATTTTTTATAATTTTTTTTTTCTAGCTCCTATATATTATGACATTAAAGAATATACCTACATAATGATACTGCTTATAATTTTTTTCTAGCTCCTATATATAATGAGTAATGACATTATAGCATTTGCAATTCTTTATTAATTATAAAAGTTAGATATATTATATTTACACAACAACAAAAAAAATTAACCAGAAATTTTTATTATATCCACCTATCCAAATCCATATCAGCAATATTCCATAAAAATTAGAACACATTTAGCAAATAAACAAATTTAACGAAAGATAACGACGTATAACATAAATATATCCTTTTTTCAAAAGCCATTGTTAATTATTTTATTTTGTACCTGTAACCTAAAATAAATAAAGATAGCACTGTGTATTATTTATCAATTTGTAAAATAATTGATATAGGGCATTTATCTTTTGTTAACTAACGTTTTTGATAAATAAGTTCAATTTAAAAACCCTTGTATTAAATTTACAGTACTAGAAAACTAAGTAATTACCTATAGCAAAATTGGTAGGAAATCCGTAGGAACAAGGTCTTACGTACAGATTTCCTACAAAAAACGGGTTGTAGGGATAACCCTTGTGGGTAATTTTTTCCTACAAATTAGCTACAAACATTCCTACGCATTTCTACGGAATATTCTGTTACAAATTTACCTACGGAACACGTTAACTACAGAGTACCTACAGATTACCTACGTGTTATTTACCTACGAAATATCTACAAAATACATACGAATTATTTTCCTACAAAATACCTACAAATTGATTTTCCTACAGAATACCTACCAACTACTTTTCTAACAGATTGCCTACCAACATATTTTCCTACGGAATACCTACCAACTGCTTTTGCTACAGATTACCTACAAACTTTATTAGATTTCATTTCTTACCGAATACCTACATAATATTTATTTCCTACAAATTTTCTATGATATTTTTACCAGTTTTTATTGCTATATTAAATTTATAATTCCTACAGAATATTTATTTCCTACAATTCAGCCAAAAATCTATTGCTATATTAAATTTATAATTTAAAAAATATCCAAATTTTCTACTAAAAAAACCAAATATATAATTAAAATAATAGTCAAATACCATTACATTCATTACCATTAAAATAGTCATTAACATACCATTCATATATTCAAATACTCAAAATGTCATTACAATACCATGACAAAAGCTAAGAACTAATCAATAACATAACATTCATTTAGTGTTCTAAAACAAAAACTAAGAATTACTTGGTGGATTATCGGATGAATTGATTTGTTTCATAAAGGCCGCCAATTTGTTGCATTTGCAAATCCATTTGACTTTGCTTTTCATCAATGGCTTGTTGCATGTTTGATACTTTTTGTCGCAACTCATTTACCTAAAAATAGCAAGACAAACACATAAAATTAGTAAATATAATTCAACGTTAAACCATGATAGCAATGTACTTTACTTTTAATTCAATATAAGAACACACTACTCATAATAACAATGTACAATAATAACTTTTGATATGCATAATAATTTGATGTCATTTCGATCTATAACCAACATTTAATCTATCATTCTACTTAATTAAACCCTAAACAAATTAATACTTTACACTAAAAAAATAAACATATCAATGTATACGCATAGATACACATACATACATACATACACATACACATACATACTCAAATACATACACATACATACACACACACACACACACATATATATATATATATATATATATATATATATATATATATATATATATATATATATATATATATATATAAGCACACATATACATACATAAACATACATAAATATATATACATATACTTACATACATACATACATAAATAAATACGTACATACACTTACTTATACAAATATATATCTTTCCTCTAATTATCATCATTTTTCATTATTCATACATTAAATGTATATTATTTTACCTTATTGATGTATTAAACGTTGTTTTTTTTTCATTTGTTCATTTATTTGTGTGTTAAACATATTTGTTACGATTATTATATATTATCATTATGTTTATTATTATTATTATTATTATTATGATTTTTTTTTGTGTTTTACATATTTAAAGCAAAATGATCAAAAAAATTGAAGACTTGAATAATAATAATAATAATAATAATAATAATAATAATAATAATAATAATAATAATAATAATAATAATAATAATAACAACAACAACAACAACAATAACAATAATAAAAATTTAAAATCGTTGATATTTCGTACTTATTATGTAGCTATTTTTTTTTTGTGGGTAGTCTGTAGTTATTTTATAGCTAATTACCTACGGAATATCTACGGGCTTTATTTCCGTTGCTATTCCGTAGTTATTCTGTAGCTAATTACCAATGAAATACTTACATATGTGCGTCCGTTGTTATTTCGTTATTAATTTAGAGCATCCCATTCCGTAGGAATTCCGTTGGTATTATGTAGATAATTACTTACGAAAATTTTCCATAGTTATTTTTCTATGGCAAAACCCTTTGTTTTCCAAGTAGTTAAACCGGGTATTTTCGTCGTAGAATTAGAAAGACGATCACTTCAACTCTTCTAGTACTGTTTTTGATACCATCGCCGATTATCAGCCACGCAAAATTTTTCCTTAAAGAAGGGTTATCTACTTCCCAGTGTATTATTATTATAAGTCTATAACTAAGATGGTTGACTTAGTCGGCTAAGGTCATATAATAGTAATTCAAAACAAGATGTCCTTAATTACTCCTTATCATCATCAAAGTTATTAATGATAGATATGACACACTTAAATTAGAGATTTTATTATATTCTAAGGTTTTATCTCGTTTGACTTATACGCCTATATATACATGAATTCATGTATTTGAATGTCTGTAGAAAGAAAGAGAGATCTAGAGAGAGGGCTGTGGGGAACTTAATAATGACAGGGCAATCATCCAGATGTACACATGGTGCTGGTCATAGCTCAATTAGAACTTACAGTTTTGAGCTTTATGGCGAGAGGATTGATCCAAACTTAAGTCAAGGTCATGAGAAAGTGAAAGAGAACGAGAAAGAAGAAGATCAATATCTGTGTAGCAATGGTAATTCATTTAATAGATCATGCAACAATAGAAGAGCTTTTAGTTTTAAGCTCTTTAGCGAGAAGATTGATCCAAACCTGAATCAAAGTAATGAGAAATTAGAGATAGAAGATGGTCATGACCATCGATTTCTTAATGGCAATGGCAATTCACTTCGTAGGTCCAGTATTAGCATGGGTATTTTAGATGCATGCAACTATGACCCGGATTTCATGGATAACGGGTATCTGTCGGATGGCCTTCCTAATGGATCTAGCCACTACATCCATGATAAGAAGAAAGGTTTGTTTTTCAAGTGTATTATGTTGTAATGTGATTATTCTTTTTGATGATGTGTTTTCTCTTTAATTGCATGTGGGTCTTGATCTGTTCAAAGCACACAATGTGTTCATTAACTTAAGTTGGATCTTCATACAAGTGCATTATGAATAACATAATGATGCTATGCTAACATAAAGAAAAAGTATATATAAAATCTCTAAATTAAACATCTTTCTTATGTACATTAATCTAGCTATATTTTCATTGATCAGGGTTGTCATGGACAAGAGATGAGCACAAATCATTCTTGATGGGTTTAGAAAAGCTTGGAAAAGGTGACTGGAGAGGGATTTCGAAGAATTATGTGAAAACAAGAACCCCAACTCAAGTCGCTAGCCATGCCCAGAAGTATTTCATCAGAATCAAAGCACACGAGAAAGGAAAACGCAGATCAAGTATGTTTGATATGCCCAATCACTCGGTAATTAACTACTTCTGAAAGCTTGCATCTTTCTCCTGAGATCTTGAATTTGTCTTGAACTTTTGATATGTAAACCTTAATAAATGGAAGTATAGAGCTTTTTTTCCCCCTTTGATAAAGCTGATTTAAGATAAGCCAACTATTATTGAGTTGTTTCAGAAAGATTGTTACTTGTAGATTAACGAGTCAACTTATTCAAAAAATAATTATTATTTACTCCTTTTTGATCTTTTAATATTTTATAATATACTAATAATCTATAATATTTGTGCTAACAAGAAACGGATATGTTACTTAACATACTTAAAGTAGACATTCATTAAAAAAACATGTATTTCATATTAGTTTTGTTTGAAATAAGATCAATGTAAATAAAAGAAGTGGAATAAGATTAGGGATTTTTTAATATGTATCTTAAGAGCACATATAAGAAGCATTGATTGAAGTATTGTTATGATGAATATTACCATAATTAAATATGATAAACATTAATTATAAATAATATTCATTTTATATTTAATTATGATAATATTGTATATAATTAATATTTATCAAATTTAATTATACCAATATTTGTTATAATTAATATTTCAATTAATACTTTTTATATGTACTTTAAATTCCATAAGATTATATTAGCTAAAGATGACCTGGAATTGAAGTAAATGTTTGTGTTATAGTGACATATCTTCATGTGTCTGTAAGATCTTTTACACGCGTGGTTGACAAACATAAGTTAGAATGAAATTCAATTCCTTTAATTTGTTACGTTCTGTTTGGTTTACCATGATCCTTTCAAAATTATTAGTCCAAATTATCTTAACTGACCAAAACCCCTTTTTTCCTTTTAATTTATGAAGCTATTTTTATAATCTAATTATATTAACATCAAAATACATATATATTTTTTTGGAACGACGGAAATCAAAATACATACATTAATTTCATAAACATCAATAAAAGTAATATGATGTCTTTAAAACACATGATTTTTTGATAACATAATAAATATAATTTTTTTAGAACGGTGAACACATATATTCTTTATACTAATCCAAACATAATAAATACATATATTTACCTTTAGTTGAGAACAGCTTTCGACCATCAACGATACCTTGGAGCTATAAGCCATTTAGATATAAGAGTAAATTACAGTTTTGGTCCCTGTATTTTGGTCAATTCATATATTAAGTCAAACTTTTTAAAAATTTAACAAAATGCATCATTGTGGTTTAAAGAATTTACACAACACATCCTTAATCCACTTAAAAAGATCATTTTCAAAATCTTCCTATACTTGTGACGATCACTTTTATACAAACAAAAGCTACTGTTTTCAGCTTCTAGTTACTGTGCTGACACCTATAAGCTAGATAACTTCATCTGTTTTCCAACCAAACACGTTACGAAAGAAATCTCTCATTTCAATTCCTTCCAAAAAAATCTAACATTTATGGACAAAACATACCCTAAATCTCTATTGCTTATTAGGATTAGAAATCTATATATGCCCACCCTCATTTTATTTTTATAGTTTTTAGTGTAAAAAATAGTGATGTATGTTACTATGTACAGTCATATAGACTAGGCTCATGATTCGAAGATTTGATGCAACTCAAATAGTAACATATGTCATCCTAAAGAGAGATAAAAACAAATGTAGGACTATTTGCAAATACATTTCTATAATACCTAGCCAAATAACACTGTCACTTGTTTTGCAGATGAGTTATGGCAATGAGCATAAATCTAGTAATCGAGAATGTTCGAATATAAACATAGGCGGATTGCATCCATTCAAAAGCAGTTGGACACAATGTACTTCTCAAGCCCTTTTTATGTCTCGACCTTTGACAATAACTTATGGTTCACCTCGAACAAGTGTTGTGGCTTCAACAAGTAAAGAGATATTGCACAAATAAAATAGTTTATAGTCGACTAGATTTTATATTAATTCACATTATTTTTTATTGGTTCTTTGCTAATTAGGTTGAATCGGTTATAGAGACAACTCATATATAAATGCATAAAATGCATCCATCTTTGGATACAATTTAAACATATAAATGAAATGTTTCATTAGGATAATCCATTTTATCTGATCTTACTTTACCTTAATGATTATAATGACACAAGTTCTTTTTATTATTCGACTTTCACATTTTTTTTATTCAACGAAATCTATATTTACATAAATCCTAGAAGGTTTCAGGATATGACACATAACCATCATAATTTTAGTACTACTTTCCATCTTACTTAACCTTGTATTTAAGGTGTGCAATTTGCACTAATATAGAAATTTTAATTCATGCTTTTCCTAATAAATTTCCTAAGCACATAGGACATAGTTACCATTAACATTAATGGTTCTAAGTTGTCATTCTATTCTTTTCTTTCACAATTTAAGCATAAGAGTGTCAAGTCATTGCCCAATTTCCCTAAATTATGGTTTTGATACCATTAGTATAATCGATTTTACAATAGAGATTAACATCAATAAAATACATTCATAATAGAGACTATTGCAAATACATAATAAAGACTAGTCCAAACTGGGGTAAGGAGCTACAAAAACTATCAAAGAGAATACATTTGTAAATATAAGACATAAATTGAATGTAATGTCTAAATGCTTTTGTCTTACTAGATAGCTTTGAAAAATACGTAAGACAAACTTGTCTCGTAAGATAAATACGTTTGAAAACAAAATTTCAAAAACATTATGTAACCTTTATTTTAAATCAAAATCCATAACTTTCATTTTAAACCCAGATCATAATTTTTATCGTAACACACATTTTATAAAGATTTACTTTTTATCACATTTTATAAACCTTTAGATTAAAACATGTTACTTTACATATAATGTTCGGGGTTTATTGCATCAAGTACAATATCTAAAGGTAGTAGAATAATAAAAAGATTTACCTAAATGCACATGCATCCTAGAATCTAGGTTTTACTAGTTTAAACAACGTACTTTAAAATCAAACTAAAAGAAAGAACTATTAACCTCTTGATCATTAGATTATGTTATCAATAACCTTTCAATAGATAGAGAGCCTAAGGTAGAACTTTTTTAATGTAGTCATACCAAAGACTCCAAAAGAAAAACAAAGAAAACCCTACTATGGTTTATTCGAAAATCCTATAATCCTAGAGAGGGATAATGATTTTCATAAATAGAGAAGAAAGAGAGAGGAGGTAATGAAAATTAGAGGTTCCAAAAGTCATCTAGGGTTTTATCCCAAACCCTTTCTTTATAGGCATTAGATAAATCCTTTAGGATTTCAAACTCTTAAGGATTATCTGTACCTTATATGAAACCTGTCATATCCTTATCTAAAACATGCAAAAATCGTCCATATCAACTCTCCAAGAACTTATGGAATATTCTAGTTAATCTCTTGGATTATGTCACATCCCCGAACCAGACGACAGAAATGTCAAGGGGCTTGAGTGACTTCATTCTTGTAGTATCATCATAGTGTATATAATTGAAACAAAACATCATCATCATCACACATGTAATAATACACCTGTTATTGTTTACATGAAATATTGTATTTCAATATTACATGCCAAAATATCCAAAATATGATGATAACAAAAGACAACAAAATATCCAGGCATTCTTGCTGACTAATCTGCTCAACGATTTCCTGAGAATACAAGTTAATTTGAAAAGGTCAACATATATAATGTTGGTGGGTTCATAAGCATGTTTGAGTAAAATATTTTGTACTACTTTGTAAACACCAAAAATCCGATATTTTCTAAAAAATGGTTTGAAATGTTTGTGTCCGATCTTGTATTAATGCATGTGTATTAATGTTTATGAGTGAACGAAGTGAATGATCCCAAACAACCTGATGTTGCCTATTTATAAAACATTATGATCTCAACACCATAAGACTGAGTACTAGTGCGTGTATGTTACTGTGGTATCAACATATGTTATATCCTGTAAATTTTATAATGGAGTTAATTCCTCTATGTCAGTCGTTATAACCATACTTGATAATGACTAATCCGCCTGTCATGACGTTTTTCAGACGCCGACGTGTTTAAGGTAAGGTTTGTTACCCTAGACAGACCTAGTCTATCAGTAGCGAACAACTCAGGTGTGGGGTGTCACCCCCGTATAGATCTATACACAAACTCCCGCTCTCCCTCCAAGAGACTCTAGTTATAACTACAGGCTATGGTTGTACACTCGATAGGTGTCAAACGAAGTGTCTCACAAGATACTTAACTAAATTTACGCGAATATGAAATTGCACATTGTATATTGTTTCCGTGTAAGTATTTAGTTTTCAAAGCCTAACGAGTATGTATGTGAATGTGTGAAGTCAACAAGCATGTAGATGGACCACGAATGCCCAATAAACATGTAAAAAGACAACTAAGGCCCACTAAACATGTAATTATATTTCAGCCCAAAAAGCATGTAAATGACGTAATTGTTCCATTTGTTGTTATGTTGGTTGTTTACCAAAAATGACAATAAATGGCTCACTTTTGTAAAAAGACATTTTTGGTCCTTAAAACCGAAAATTTACAATTGGGGCACATTTTTAGTAATAATGACACTTTAGGTCCTTTAAAACCAAAATTTTACATTTAGGGCACATTTTTAGTAAAAATGACACTTTAGGTCCTTTAAAACCAAAACTTCACATTTAGGGCACATTTTTAGTAAAAATGACACTTTAGGTCCTTTAAAACAAAAAGTTACATTTAAGGGTTTGATTCGCATGAAATAACATTTTTAACCCCACTTTTGTCAAAAAAAAATATAACACTTTTGGCCTCAATTTTATGAAAATTGACATTCTCGACCCAATTATGAATAAGTTTATCTTTTTGGCCCAAGATTTAACAAATTTACATTTTCAACCCCTTTTTAACCGAAAATTTACATTTTGGCTCAAATTTGTCTAAAATGACACTTAAGTCCACAAAAGCCCAAAAATTTACAAATTTAGCCCAAAATCGTGAAAGCCCAAAATGAGGCCCATTGGTGAAATTTTACACTTTTAGCCCTTACAAAATCATAAATACTATAAGGATCCATATTTACTCAAATAAATCCTTTCAAAACCATGAGTTATGCATACTAACTTCACTTTTTGATTATTTTGTCATTTTTGGCCCTCTTATGTAATTTTCTTAGTTTTAAACAACCTTTCAATGTTTTAAACATTTTCTTTGCATAATATGTTGTATCAAGTGTTATGTCCACAAATATCATCCTATTCTTGTATATTTTCGAGTTCATGAAGTTTATAACACATAATCACTCTTATTGATGAGTTTTGGCCATAAGAACATCATATGTGCTCATACAAACCCTAATGTTTGGATCTAGGTGTCTCTATTGTACATGCAATTTATCCAAGACTATAAACCCTAGATCTAGCATATAATAATCAATACAACATATAATTAGGGGTTAGATCATACCTTGATTGTTATGTAGCAATAACCATCTCAAATCCTCCTTGTAATGACTTTAGAAAGCTTAGAGTCACAAATGTCACTCCTCTAATGGTTCACAAACACCAAGAGCAAGAGGATGAAGAAGAGAAGAGAAGGAGGCTCTCAAAAACGTGTGGAAACCCTAGACAACTAGTTCACCCTATTTTTGGAGTATCAGGGTTCTATATATAGTAGGGCTAATAGGGTTATCTAACAAGGAAACCCTAATTTGGATGCTTAAGCCCTAAGCAACCCATGGACTCCTTTTCTTAAAGGCCTTGGACGATTTCCAATCGGTTTCCCCATAGAACTCATCCAACCTTATAATATAAGGCAATCCATAGCCCAATTGTAATTATCTTATAATTACAATTTCAGTCCCTTAAGTTTAACTAATCTCTTTTAGTCACAAACTTAATTCTTATTAATTATTGACTAATATTAATTAAGCAATATGATTTCTCCTTTAATATATTATTCCAATAATATATTAATAAATCATATTTAATCCATTCTCTCCATAATTCATCCTATCAAGTTGCTTTGGTGAAGGTAACCCAAAAGGACCATGCACCATCGGGTCAAGTACATACCAAATTAGTTATGGACTTAGACACTAATCCAACACTTATATCATGAAAAACACACAAAATCATGCATGTACACATAGATCTACACAAAACAACTTGTATTCTCCCCCAAAACATAGTGAAAAACCAAAAATAGGGGGTATGAACTCACTTTGGTTTGATGGTTTCAATTTTAGTGAAGAAGATCGAGAGGTCTCGGCCTAGATCATTTCTTGAAGAGAATTTCAAGTCCAAGATGGTTCTAGGAGCTTAAATCACGAAATGAGAGTGGTTTAAGGAGATATTTCTAGATTAAACTTGAATAAAAAGTAATAGAGTTTCTCAATTACAAACCAAGAATGAAGGAGCTTTGATGGAGAGTTCTTGATGCATCCTTAAAACCCACGAGAATTTGGAGGAATAGAGAGACGACTTTCCTTGTGCTAGAGAGGAAGAGAAGAGAGAATATGGTGTTTGAAATAAAGATTGTGGGTAATGAAGACCTTATGACCAAGGGTATGGAGAGAAGATATATATATATATATATATATATATATATATATATATATATATATATATATATACTAATCTTGTTATTGGTGAGGAAATAACTTATCTAGAAACATGAGGTTTTCCATAGAAATTTGGTGGGTATTGCATGGATATCCTCCATGCAAAGGTTAGGTGTCACCATTAGGATAATCACACATTTTATTTTTTGTAAAACCGAGAATGGAGTAAAGAGGAAAAGAAAAGAATTGCTTGGGCCACTATTGAATATATTCAAAATTTATAGGGTCTAATATGGAATTTTTTGGCCCATTGGGCCTATATAATGGTTTACGACCCAAAAATGTTAAAGGAATTTG